TGCAGCCAGGTGTTAATGAGCTGCAGCAGCACCACGCTGAAATCTATTAGAAAGGCATTTAACACATGTCTGTTAATCACTGAGTGTTAGTCACGATGCTTCAGGACAGAAACTGTGCTGTTGTTAATGTGCAGGAAGTGAAGATAAACATCATGTCTTCAGCTCAGTTGGGAATCAAACCCTGAGCCAGGGCGGTGCTGGTGCCTTGCTCCGCAGCTCCAGTTTGTTTAGCAGCAGCGGTTTCTGTCTGTGTTTGAGACTCGGCAGACGTCAGAGCGTCTTATTTTAGCTCTGTGGTTCAGGGTTTGTCTCAGTTTGTTTGAAGGAAACACAAAGACTTTTTATAACCTGACATTCAGCTGAAACACAGAAATATTCCTGCTGTAAAACTTGGTGGTGTAATGGGAACAGAGTCTGGAGTCTGGTTTACCACACCACCAAAATACACAGCAGGGAGGGAGTGAACTGCACTTATGTTCCCCGTCCTTTAAACTTCCACTCGTCTATTTTTTACATTGATAATGCCTCAGTTTACAGAGTAACTCCAGAGCATTTTAGCCTCGTTAGCTCCTAGTTTTGGTTTCATGGCACGTTTACCGTCTGGAGTTTGAGTTCGCTGCGACGGGAAGCAAACGACGAGCTGTTTTCAGGCTCAGAGAGATGCTTCATCGCCCCTTTCAAAGAGACGCTCACACATCTGTCTTAAAACAACTTAACACTCACATTTAAAGGATGACTGGTCCCTGCTGTAACACTTTAAGACTTTCACACTAAATAATAATAATTGAATTGAATTTGAACAGATGAGTTTTAAGAAGTGACTTGCATAGTAATACAGATATTTTAATCATCATCTTGTATTTACAGTGTCACACATTTGGTTCACACATTTAGGAAAAAGGAAATTGTTGTATGTTCATAAATTACTGAGATAAAGAATTTGTCTTAATGTTGTTAACAATAGTTTATGTTGGCTTTTAAGTTCATTTTGAAAAAAAAAAGAAGGGAAAAAAAGGCGACAACATGCGAGTTACAAAAAATTAAACAGTTGAACTCTACAGAATTAAAATGTGCTCGGGTTTAAATTAGGGATGATTGTGAAATTCTGGCCCAGTATCAACTAGAGATGTACCGATACCACTTTTTCCTTCCTGATACCGATTCTGATCCCTGAACCTTTGGTATCTGCCGATACCGAGTACTGATCCGATCCTGGCGCGTAAAATAAAAATGGATGGGATATGAATTGTTGTATGTCTCAACTCCTAAAACTCTATGTAAAATATTAAGAAATAAATACGTAACAGTAGAATGAATGCCATAAACCTTTCTTTTATTATTATTATCCAGTGTTGACACAGATCAAGACGCAGGTTAAAGTGCAGCCACACAGTTTGGTAAAAAAGACATGTTAAAGGCTACAGTAGAATGCTTTTTAAACTCTGCTCCGTTTCCGTTTCGTTTGCTTGTAGCGTGCGTATGTGTAATGACGTGAGGCATTACGTGGTATCGGATTGGTCATAGGCTGTACTCGCCAATACCACATTTTAGGCAGTATTGGAGGCATTTCTGATACTGGTATCGGTATCAGTACAACTCCAGTATCAATACAGGTGTTTAAAATAACTTTTTGACTGATAGCCTGAACTGATACTGACGACTATTTTGTTTGGAAGATCTCGAACACGTTTTCTATCGTCCTCGGGACAAAAGGACGCAGTTAGTATCAAGCCCTGTTATTCAATACCGATGTGCCACTAATAAATGGGTGCACCCCGAGTTGAAATGTCGGCCTGTATGATGCTGATGCAGTAAACATGAGCGAAAGCCTAGTTTTGTCTTTTTGGTCACACTTCAGACTCCTGTTGTTGCAACTCTATCTTCTTAAATTATTAATAAAATTACCCTGAAATATTGTGATATTATTTCACTTCCCCCAGCTGTGACACATTTTACTGTTCTCCGAAAATTGGAGCTCCTGCAGTTTGGGTGTTGCACCTGGCCGCATTGTGTTCTTGATAATATTTAAATGTATTGTGCCCTGATATGTTTTTGTATGATACGTAATTTAAAACAGTATGGTGGACGAAAAAATAACAAGAGCCCAAAATGTACGGACACACACAACACACAATTTTAAAACCGTGACTAAAGTGTGAGGAGGTTGAAGCGAAGAGGGCGTGACTGAGTGTGAAAGGCTCCAACTGTCCTCCCGCCCCACCTGACCCGCTCTCCCCTTAGAGATGTGATGATTAGTCGATTAATCTTATAAAACAGAAAAATAAGAAACATTTTGAGCTTCTGCAGTGTCTCTGATTTTCTGTTTCCCTCAGTCTCATTCGTGGAGCCGTTAAACGTCACGCAGGTTTTTAAAAAAAATTTTTTAACTACTTTGACGTTCCTCCACAAAACGTTACTTTGGAATAAACGTCCTGTCGCTCACAGAGGGCGGCTGAACGTTAACAAACATCATGGATGTATGACACAGTTTTATCTCAGCAGCAGTTGTTTGTGTCCACAGAGCGAGCAGCCGCAGTCCTCTCTGCTCAGTATCAGCGGGCACGCCTTCACTGGCTTGTACCATTAAACCCTCCTGTGTGGGGGGGTGATCTGTCTCTCCAGCAGGACAGGGCTGACGTCCTCTTACTGTTGACTCAGTGTGGTTCAGGCGTGCCCAGGACGTCCATGCGGTGTGTGTGTTAGTGTGTTGGGAAGCAGCCGCCGCCCACACAAGCGAGCGGTCTGAGCGGTTTTACAACAGTCACTTACTTTTAATGAAACACACACACACACACACACACACACAGTCAGCAGCTCTCAGTGTGGTTTTATACTGGTTTCATGCTCAGACTGGGAGCACAACATGTCACATAAATCAGTCACACTGAATGCTGTGATGTTCAGATGAGTCATGTTCATATTGTGAAGATGAGTTTTATTTTATTGGAGAGATAACAGTGTCGATACAGAGAGGAAACATGAGGAGAGACGTGAGAGAGGGAGGAACGACACGCAGCAGAGTTCCCAACGTGGAGTTGAACCACAGATTTGTTTGTGTTATGAATCTGAACCACCAGACGCACCAGTGTCACGGTTTAGAGGCTGCGACTGTGTGCGCTGATTTATATCATACAGAGTCTGATATATTTATACATGCATACACACTCAGTGGCCACTGCATTAGGGACACCTTACTAGTACCAGGTTGGACCCCCTTTTTAATTCTTGGTGTCACAGATTCAACAAGGTGCTGGAAACATTCCTCAGAGATGTTGGTCCATATTGACATGATGACATCACACAGTTGATCCATGATGAGAATCTCCCATTCCAGCACATCCCAAAGGTGCTCTATTGGACTGAGATCTGGTGACTGTGGAGGCCATTGGAGTACAGTGAACTCATTGTCATGTTTGAGATGATGTGAGCTTTGTGACATGGTGCGTTATCCTGCTGGAAGTAGCCATCAGAAGATGGGTACACTGTGGTCATAAAGGGATGGACACGCTCAGCAACAATACTCAGGTAGGCTGTGGTGTTTAAACCATGCTCAGTTGGTACTAAGAAAATCTCCCCCACACCATTACACCACCAGCAGCAGCAGCCTGAAGCGTTGATACAAGGCAGGATGGATCCATGCTTCCATCTGAATGTGGTTTTTCCAATCTTCTATTGTCCAGTTTTGGTGAATTGTAGCCTCAGTTTCCTGTTGTTAGCTGACAGGAGTGGCACCTGGTGTGGTCTTCTGCTGCTGTAGCCCATCTGCTTCAAGGTTGGACAAGGTGTTGTTGCTTCAGAGATGCTCTTCTGCACACCTTGGTTGGAACCAGTGCTTATTTGACTTCCTGTTGCCTTTCTATCATCTTGAACCAGTCTGGCCATTCTCCTCTGACCTCTGGCATCAACAAGGCATTTTGGCTCACTGGATATTTTCTCTTTTTGGGACCATCCTCTGTAAACCCTAGAGATGGTTGTGCTGAAAATCCCAGTAAATACTCAGACCAGCCCGTCTGGCACCAACAACCATGCCACGTTCAAAATCACTTCAATCACCTTTCTTCATCATTCTGATGCTCCGTTTGAACTTCAGCAGCTCGTCTTCACCGTGTCTACATGACTAAATGTTAATGAGCTGCTGACACCTGATTGGCTGATAAGATATTTGTTAATGAGCAGTTGAACAGGTGTACCTAATAAAGTGGCTGGTGTGTGTGTGTGTTGCAGGTGTGTGATGATTCAATGAAAAGTGTTTTGTTTACGTGTCACATAAACAGGATCATTGATGTCTCTGAGGACTGACATGTTGGATTTCATCTTTAAGATCTCAGGTTTTAATGTTGTAAGAATCATAAATGGATCCAAACTGCTGCTCTGTTTTACAAAATCTGACGAAGCTGTGTCGGCTGATTTTCATTATTTAATCCTAAATGTTTTTGATGAGGATCTTTTAATTACGTTTTATCAGACAACAGTGACCTTTCACCCAGAGACATTTTCCAGTGTAAACATCAACCTGTCGGCGTCCTCTGGTGGACAAACTGTGTCTAACTGACCTTAAACACATCTTTGACATTTCTCTACTGACATTAACTTGCAGACATGTGTCAACTTTAGTGGGGCAGCACTGCACATATGAAACTGGAGGTGTGGGACTCACACTCAGGAAGTTTTAATATGGCAAAACTTAATTTCCTTCATCATTTTTATGCATCAGTTCAATCATGTGGAAGTCCTCCGTTACTTTAATGTTTTATTGGAGGGGGACAAATGCACATGTTCTGAATATTGAGGGGGAAGTGTCCACTGCATAACCCCCAAAATCTCCACCTGTGTATGTGTGTGTGTCATAGCCTGAAACAATCTGATAATTAGGACTGCAACTAACAATTGTGTTGGATTGATAGATAGATGTAACTCTTGTAACAGGCTGTGGTTTTAAATTCTGCTTAAATAAAGTTTACACAAACACTAACCAGGTGTCTCCCGTCTCTCTCCGTCAGCTGCTGTCCTTCGTGGCCTTCATCATGGAGGAGGTGGTGAACAGCTGCGTCAGCTGTGGCGCCCTCTACTTCTTTGAGTTTGTCAGCTGCACAGCTTTCCTCTTCACCCTGCTGCTCCTCATCCTCCTCTCCACCACGCTGCACACCAGGACAGGCATCACCTGCTGGCCCACCCTGGTAAGAGCTGAGGGTCACCTCCACCCTGATCCCATCACTCCTCCATATAAACTCCAGCTGTCTGCCTCCGTCACAGACCGGGCTTTTTATCTGTTCCTTTGTTAATGGAATAGTTTGGAATTTTGGGAAATATATTTATGTTCTCTTCCTCTCTGAGAGTCAGAAGTTCAGGCTGACACCGCTCTCATGTCTGTACAGTAACATGAAGCTGCAGCTGGTTAGCTTAGCTTAGCATAAAGACTGGAAACAGCTACCCTGGTTATTTGCTATCACAGAAATCCAGTGATAGTTCTCTTTTGACACTTTGTGATCCAGCACCCAACCCAGTGGGCTTTGGGGATGTGCGTGTCCTATTCTTTATCATACAGTTCTCTGTACATCCCACACCTCTGACGTTTTACTGTCTCGTAGTCTCAGACACTTTCAGCACAGTTTCATCTCATATGATATGAAGCAGCCTCCTTCATTTATGGTTCTGATGATGTTGCTCGTGATTAACACCCCGCCTCTTTCACATGAGAGCGCTCATGGCTGATATGAAAACCCAGACTTGACTGAACTAGTTGATAACCAGCTTTGTGTTACTGCTTATCCAGATAGCCAGTGTGACGGGTTAGTCAAACCAGATAACAAGAAGATGTCCTGGGTACGTTGATCTGGTTTCGTAGCACAGGCCTCTGGTGTTCAGGGGGCAGAGTTGTCTCAATTGTCAGATCATAACACAGCGATAAACGATGCACACACTGCATCATATGGGACCTTCTCACTGAGTGACACATACGGACACAATCACACATTCACACTGACTCTTTATTGCAGTGATGTCAGTTACACCCAGCTTTATCTGCACGTCATCACCTACGTTTGAATATTAAAACTATATTCAGGAACCATTATAAAAAACACCAGATTATTTTTTACAAAAAGTTTTCTCCAGTCATGCTCATGATGCAGCATGAAGATGTCTGTGATGTGCTGACAGTCTGTTTGGTCCGTCGTAACGACCAGAGTCAGAGCCGCCCTCTGAGCAGCCACAGTGTGCGGTGAAGCTGTCTCTGTTATTGTGTCCACGTCTCAGTGCTGCAGCTTCAGCACCAAACACACCCGCTCCTGCTGAACGATTGAGCTTCACAGGTTTATTATCCATGACCTGAATCTTCTCCTCCGTAAGAAATGGCTCACCTACAAAAAAGACAAAGATTTGGGAGATCATTAATCTCATATATTGACAACAACTCTCCCCGTCCAGCACGTAACTCTTATATATTAAAGAAGTGTGAAACCACGGCTTTAAAAGGAGGAAGTAACAAAGATGTGTACTCGCAAATTAAAGATGCTCGACTGTCTCAGTTTCACGAGTGTGATGTTACACCCTGTCACGGTTATTCAGAGGATGTGTTCACATGCACAGCAGTTACCTGGTTACTGTAATCCACACACACACACACACACACACAGAGGTCAGTAATCAGGTTCTGCTTTGTTCCTGACTTTATTCCTGAAGCACATCTGTCTGATTGGAACTAAGGAGCTGCTTGTTTGATCACAGTTTCTCTCCTCACACTCTGAATGTGCCTGAACAGTCAAATGTTGAGCAGCAGAAACCAGCTTGTTAATTTCAGTTTCGGTCAGACATCAGGTGGAATTCTGTATTTTCATCCAGCTGCTGTGAAGCTCTCTGTGTCTGTTTTTTCTGCACATGCTCACATTAATCGAACTTTATTTTTTTTTCCAATTATGATTTCGGCTTCCAACGACTATGATGACAAGATGATCGGGATGAAACGATTGCTGCACCGCACTGTCTTCACAAAAATGCTCACGTTTTGTCTTGTACTCGCAGTGTTTGCCAACTTTTTGACTTTCTCACTGGATTTAACAACTTTATAGACCCTTTATTGACTTTATCTGTGAAATATAACCCACCGCAGGTTCAGCCTTTAGAGCTAACATTTCATTTACGGCATCACCTGAATGTGTCGATCAGCAGAACTGAGTCAGGTACATTGCTAACAAGCTCACATTCCTGGTAGTTTACTTTATGATATGTGAATGCTGGATTTTTACTTTTTACCCAGAGGTCATCATGTTGAAAGATGAAATAGCTGTTACTGTGAAAACTTTCAGAGTTATGAAATCCTTTCTGAGTATTGCAAACTGTTTCTGGGCAGAGTTTCTTGGAACTGGACTTCCTGGATGTTCTATTCTCTGAGTCTAAGTAACCAGGACAGGGTTTAATGAGGGAGGCTCATTGTCGTGTTTCTGCTTCAGCAGCAGTGTTGCCTCACAACACGAGGGTTCCTCATGATGCAACAGGTTTCCTGGTTCGAACCCGGTGTGGGGGAGCCCCTCTGTGCAGAGTTTGCATGTTCTCCCTGTGTCAGCGTGGGTTTCCTCCAGGTGCTCCAGCTTCCTCCCACAGTCCAAAGACATGCAGATTAATTGGTGACTCTAAATTGTCCGTAGGTGTGAATGTGAGTGTGAACGGTTGTCTGTCTTTATGTGTCAGCCCTGTGATAGTCTGGTGACCTGTCCAGGGTGAACCCTGCCTCTCACCCAGTGTCAGCTGGGATAGGCTCCACCCCCTCATGACCCTAACAGGATAAGCGGTTATGGAAAAATGAATGAAGGTAATCCTGTCGAAAGATAAAATAGCTGTTACTGTGAAAACTTTCCAGAGTTACGAAATCCTCTGAGTATTACAAACCGTTTCTGGGCAGAGTTTCTTGGAATTGGACTTCCTGTCTGAGTAACCAGGACTGGGTTTGATGAGGGAGGTTCATTGTCACATGTTTCTGCTTCAGGATGAAGCAGAGACTTCTACCTCTGAAGTCTTCCTTTGTATCTGTTGAAAATGATACTGACCCTTTCTTGCTGTATGTCGGGGTGGTGCTCATGATGCGCTGTATGTCAGAGTAGCCATGTCAGCTCCATGGTCCCAAAGCTCAGGTCGTCCTCTTATGAAGCTGATTGTCTCCACAGCAACAGAACAGATGGATTCTGTCACCAGAAACACATTAATACGAATTCTTAGGAGGAAATACAGACTGACAGACAGCTTTATGCAGAACTGGAATAATGTCTAAAAGAATTTCACATGAACACAAACAGCTGACCTGCACCACTTTGTTTTCTTTTGTGGGGTCCAACATGAAGGTGTGGTGCAGCCCTGAGCACAGCTGGATCATCAGATGTGGTTCAGCAGTTGCCGTCTCAGGCTCAGTGTTTCTGATTATTAAAAAGTCTCCTCCTCATATCAAACGCTGGTCCAGTGAACAGAACGGCAGCAGCAGTGAGCAGCTGCGGTTTATGGAAGTATGTCTCTCAGGTGAGGAGAGGACTTCCACACACCGGAGTGTCCGCCATGACAGCTCCACTTCACCCTCATCTGTGCACCTGAGTGGAACACCTCCTTCTCTATGATGGGTTCTCCGCATGTCTGACACCTCCTGAACAGCTCCATCAGGCTGCAGTTATAAACAATAATGCAGTCCTTGTCGGCGTCTTCGTCAGACTCGTCAGATGTTGTCGCTGAGTTGAACTCTGGTTCTGAGTGGAAGCTGTCGTCACGAGGGTCGACTGACACCACGATGCAGAAGCTTTCGTCGGACGCTGCTGCTGCTGGAGGAGACCGAGAGGAGCTCCCTGCAGCTCCACCAGCCACCTGCCAACAACAGAACCAGATCATGGAGGCAGTGTAGCGTAGTTCAAGCAAGATATGACCGTAAGAGATGACAAAGAAATTTATATGTGATCATGAAGGACACGTGGAAGTATGAAGGCAGTTCTCAACATAAAAGGAAGTATGAATGAGCCTTAAAGGATAACTTAAGTATTTTTCAACCTGGACCTTTTTTTCCTCCATATTTTTGTGTCTAAGTGACTAATCAAGAAAAGTTTTTGAAATCAGTCCAATGAAGCAGCTGGCAAAAGCAAAATCGGCTGCTTTGAAACCACACGGGGCAAGTGTGCACCGTTAATGTACGTCCAGTGAAAGTGTTTGTTTTTGCCACTGACAGGCTCAGATGGTTATTATAAGTGTCTGACAACATTATGGAAAGGATCCCTACAGGGTAAGACCATTTTGTCAAGGACTAAGCTCCTTTTTGTGTCACCAGAAACAACTGTAAAAATCATTATTGCCAAAACCCACCAGACTCTATTCAAATAAACTGTAATTTTATCATTCATTTATTCCACTGCTCAAACAATCACCAGCTCTGGTATGGTTCAAATTAACCCTTAATTCCCCCAGTTAGATGTGAAAATATGCTGCCTCTATACACGCTTAAATTACTCTTAATTTAAATGGAGTCTGGTTGGTTTGTGATGGCGGTTTTGGGGCTGTCTATAGTTTAGCAAAAAGGATCTTGCTCTTTGACAAAAAGGTCTATCTCTGTGTCCTTTCCATAAAGAGTAAGCTACAGACAGCCCCAAAATCGCCATCACCAAACCAACCAGACTCCTTTTAAATTAAGAGGAATTTAAGCGTGGAAAGCGTCAGCACATTTTCACCTCCACCTGGGGAAATTAAGGGTTTATTTGAACCAAATCAGAGTTGGTGATTGTTCGAGCAGTGGAAAGACGAACCAAGACAGCCTTTTTTTTTTGTTGTTGTATTTTGTACCTGCTGACTTTGAAAGAAGTTTATCTTACAATGATAAAAGTACTGTTTATTTAAATAGAGTCTGGTGGGTTTGGCAATAGTGATTTTTAAGGCTGTTTCTGGTTGCACAAAAAGATCTTAGTCTCTGTCCGAAAAGTCTATCTCTGCATGGGTCCTTTCCATAATGTTGTCTAGGGTTTGGTCGGTATTAGGAAAAAAAAAAAAGGTCAGGTTTTTGTGAAAAACTGCATCAATTCGGTAATACCGGATTTTCGGCACTTGGGGGCAGAATTGACTAATTTAAAATAAAAAACGACCATAGGACAACAGAGTGACAGTAACACATTGTTTCTTTTATTCCTTACAAATAAATTTGCAGGTTTAGCTTACTCAATCAGTGCAAACAAGGGTTGCCTCCTTCGTCTGGCTCAAAGCCGAAGTGTTGCCATATTGGCGGATTCTTAGATTTCTTTGAGACTAAATTGTCCGCCATTATCGATTCCCTGTCACTGTTAAACAAACTCCAGGCTACAGTAGAGGCCTTGGCGCATGCACACTCGTACCCCCTAGCTCAGTCCCCGCCCCACCCCCACCCCCTCTCTCTCCTGCTCGCTGTGTGCTCGGCGAAGAGGCAGACACAGGCTGTAAAATGACGTATATGCGGTCCGGTCGGTCTAAAAAAAAAAAAAACCCCGGTCCAAGACGGACTACCGAACCAAATTGGTATTACCGAGAACCGACCCAACCCTAATGTTGTCAGACACTTATAATAATAATCTGAGCCCGCCAGTGGCAAAAACAAACACTTTTAATGGACATATATTGACAACGCACAGTTGCCCCATGTGGTTACACATTGAAGCCAGTTTTGCTGTGGTTTGCTGCAGCCCTCTCACACAATACTGGACCAGTATCAAAGCTTGTTGTTCCCAACAAAGTCATGGGGAAACAGGGTTCAGGTTGAAAATATCTAAGTTATCCTTTAGGGCAGGAAAAAGGGGGCCCCCGTCCCCCAATTAATTGAATCCGCCTCTGTTAAAGTCACTGACAGGTTAAACCTTCATTATTAAAGTCAAATGTGTAGCTGCTGACACGGACGGAAGAATAAAAGACACCTGGACTTGACTAACTACAGTCAGTGTTTCCTATAATGAGTATTTACCTGAGTTCTGGTTCTCTTTGGAGCCGGCGGAGATGTGTCAGCGCTGCCCGGCTCACCGTGCTGTCTCCCGGGGAACACTGACGGCACAGCGCCGCTCTTCAACACCGGCTTGGGCGCGATGTTCAGTATCTTAGCTCGGAAGTCCTCTTCGTAGTCCTCCGGCTGGAAGTGCAGACTGCACACTCTTACCCCGCTGTATTTAGACACCGGGGTGTTTTCATCAAACCTGGGGTTCTGTATCGCCTTCAGCCATATTTTACAGCGCTGCGGGTCTCTGGTTGGTAAACCGTGGAAAATAACCCCCATAGACTTCGCCTCGTCGTAGCCTTTACACCCGGGAACACAACACCTCCACGGCATCGGGGCAGCGCCGAACGATCCACAAACAACTGAACAAGTGTGAAATGTAAAAAAAAAACTTACATTGTACTGTAGCGGTGAAATATTTGTTTGTTTGTCATGTAATCACAGGCTGTGTAATGCAGGGAGGACGTTAGCTCAACAGTCAGCAACTTCCGTTATTCTTCTTCTACTAACCGATTTCCGGCAGGTTGTAACCTGTGAGGCGCAGTGCTGCCCCCCACAGGCAGTACTTTTTTAAATAGCCACAGGTAATGGGCAGCAAAGGTGAAAGAAGTACTCGGATCTTTCACGTGGGTCTGAACTCAGATCAGTTTTCTCTGACAGAGATTAAACGAGAGCATACATAGAGAGATGTTGAGCTTTTCAAATGAAGATCAGTAAGTGTGTGCTCGTAAATCAGCCCTTAAATCTGTCAAACACTGCTGGAGACATGACGCACACATTATTTTGTACAGCCTGACACCTTGATTTTGATTCCTGATCCACGATCACTGGATTAGATTAAAGGGAAAAACACAGAAAACACAATGACTAAAATGTTTTGAGTTTTCATTGACGGAATCTGTGAAGGATAAAAATGACTAAAATGTGACTAAAACTAATAAACAGTTTTATCTCAAGACTGAATCTAAAATAGGTGTCAAAATGAACACTGGTGGTCACCCTAACAACTAAAAATAGTTGCCATTTCCTTCGGTACTAATCAAATCACGATAGCAAACAGTACAATGTCCTCTCTGTTGATTCTATTTCTTTGGTCCCAGCCAGTCACAGCCCAGCAGGGCAGGACGAAGCAAAGCAAAGTTAGTTTGATCCCTACAAAGATGATTTGTGTGTGTGTGTGTGTGTGTGTATTTGTTAAACAAAGCATGTGTAGCCTGTTAACTCTGGAGGAGCTGGCAGGTGGATGTTGTCTCCTCTGAACAGATCCAGGCTAACTGTTCCCATCTGTTTCCAGTCTTTATGCTAAGCTAAGCTAACCAGCTGCTGCCTGTAGCTTCATATTCACTGTACAGACGTGAGAGGGAAGTGAATCAGCATGTTTTCCTTTAAAGTGAACACGAGACAAAGTCCTTAACTAATCATCATCATCTTCCTCTTCTGTTTGGCAGGACTTCTTGTACACCGCTGTCATCGCTGTGTTGTTCCTCATCGCCTCCGTCGTTTTTGCTTCAGACAATGGAAACACAACGATGGAGAGAACTGCTGTGGTGAGGAAACATCAGACTCACACTGCTCTCCTTTGTTACCTCCTTCTGTCTTTCTCTACCTCCTTCTTTCCTTTATTACTTCCAACTGTCCTCCTTCACCTCCTGCTTTCCTTTATTACTTCCAACTGTCCTCCTTCACCTCCTGCTTTCCTTTCATACCTCCTCCGTTTCTTTTTTACGTCCTTATTTCCTCCTCTACCTCCTTATTTTCTGTCTCCTCCTTCCTTCCCCCCCTTCCTTCCTTTCCTACTTGATAATTAAAGTTAACTTTCTCTCAGATTTTTTAAAATATAATTTATGGCTCCATCTCCTCCTGCAGGTGTTTGGCTTCTTGGCGTCAGTGATGTTTATCATTGACCTCGGCTTGTTCGTGAAGGATCGTGGGATTCCCTTTAAGAAAGACGCAAAGCAGCAGCCCAGTAACGGCGGCCCGGCGATAGTGGAGGCTCAGCCTGAGACGGAGAAGCTCAATGCTGGAGAATAAGTCTGTTTCTATGTTCATGCGTTTTTTACGCAGAGGTCACATGATTTTACGCACTATTCTTTTACCTTGGCGACAGGAGGTGGAGCGGCCATTTTGAAAGTCATTTTAAACTCTGGTTTTAGTCGTCCATCGCTCAGGACGCTCTGTGCTGCAATCATCAACATAATCAATGCTCCAATAATGAATCGATCGCAGCGCAGAGCGTCCTTCAGTGTTTTTAAAACCAGCAGGTGTGTTCTGTGTTTAATTTAACAAACAGGAAGTAGACGTCTCTTCCTGTTTGTTAAAAACCTTTTTGAAAGAAGAAGAGAGACACTAAACCACAGAACCACTAAATACTGTAAAGTCTATTTTTATCAGAGGTCGACACTCCAGCAACACCTGTAGTAGAACTAGACAACAACTTTATAACAACACGGACGCGTCTCTGCTCGTGGTGTAACAATAATGTTGTTCAGTACACGACACGTATTGCTGGAGTTTTGACGTCTTCAGATTTGTTTCCCTTCTTCATGCACCTTGGAAGTAGGTGAAGCTGTGCCAGAAACCTCCACCCTGCTTCTACCCTACAGTTTATTTTTTAAACAACACAATGAATTTAATCAATATATGGCTTTTCTTTTTTATTATTAAAGGTATACTGTGCAGGATTGTTGGCTGAACATGCTTACCAGCGAAAGTAAAAGTCAACCAGAGATTCTTCCTGTTTAGTGTTCTGTGTGGCAATATTTGCTTTTTTATTTGTTTGTTTGTTCATTTTTGGGGCTGTTTCTCTTGGATGCCTGCTGCGTACCATCTGGCACCTGGTCGCTGCGGTTTTTTAAAAAAACACACATTAAACACACATTAAACATGGCTTAATAGAGACAGTTTCAAACTCAAATCAGCTTCACTATAACTCGCAGCATTCACAGACAAACACTTGTCTTTATCTGGACACATTTTCCCCACAAATACAACATGCTAACATTATTAGCACAAGCCTATGGCATTTTACATTGTATAAATTAGCCTAGCGACTTGCAGAGATTTCCTCTGCTCATATGAAGCCAGGATAAATCACACACAGTGTGTGGAGGCTTTATTGTCTTCACAATTTATTGTTTCTTATCTGTGAAATTAAAGTAAATCAAAGCTTTGTTTCCACTGAGGGAAATGGTTTCAGCTTACAGAGACAGACAGGAGGTCTGCGTCACTGTGACACTGTGGAGTTACATTTCTGGGGAGGTGCACGTCAGGCTACAGCTTCAGTTCAATGCAGAAATATAAATTCTGCCGTAGAGTGGGTCGTAAGTGCTGATTTAAGAGAGATTTACACTTACGATGTAAACGTACATAGCAGAGGAAATTGTCGCTAGGCTAATTCATACAATGTAAAATGCCATAGGCTTGTGCTAATAACATTAGCATGTTGTATTTGTGGGGGAAATGTGTCCAGATAAAGACAAGTGGTTTGTCTTGTGAGTTATAATGAAGCTGATCTGTGTACTTGTGTTTGAAATTGTTGCAGACGAGTGTTCGGGAGGTGTAACTGCAGAGTGACACAGACACACCACCGTACAAGTATAAGTGCTCACAATGGCGAAGGCTCTGCATAGAGCTGATGCAGAAGTATAAATCCACTTTAAGAGGGGTTATTTCTGTAATCTGAGTCTATACATTGTTTTTTAGCAAAATCCTGCGTAGTATACTTTTAAATATCTTGAATTTAAAATTGTCTTAGTCTAAACTTGCCTTGAAAAACATTTTGTTTAAATTGTCCCCAAAAATCAAATTCTGTGTCATAAAATTTTCCCAATTCACTGAACAGTTTTTGGTGTAAGTCGCAGGTTCCCAACCTGTGGGTCAGGACGCTCTGTGGGGTCCAAGATTAATCTGAGGGGTTACGAATGATCAGAAAGGAAAAAAAAATCACATTGCACGCATTAAGCTCCTCAGACCACAAAAATCTTTTAAATGAACCAATCAGATGAGGAAAGATCATTGTGGTGTCGGAAACAATACAGTGTGGTATTAATTTTTTTCTGTTCGGGCCCTGACGCCTCAAAAAAAAGACAGATTTAGACAGTTTTTATAGTTTGTGCTGAAATGAAGGAACTCTGCTCAACAAAGAAAATGTGTCTTTATAATGATTTTAAAAAACATTTAAAGTATCTAACCAGCCTCAAACAGCAGCAACAAGTCGTTTCTGATTATAAGTAATAATCTGAAATAAAACAGATTATTGCTTCAACTAGAATCTGATGATGAACAGTCAAACATTACATCTCATTTCTACACAGACCAGCAGGTGGAGCTGTTTGATTTAACATCCTCTCCTCTGGACCTGTGTGGAGGGTTTGTTTTTTTTCTGCTGCTCAAGTCAATGCTGCAGAGTTTCTTAACATGCATCAAAATTTTTGTCATTACAAGAAAGGAGACTCTTTTTTTTTTATCCAAAATCCAGTAAAACTAACTGAAATAAATCCTGAGATTCACTGTGTTTTGACAGATTCAGTTCTGACACTTTGGGGCTTCCATATGTCACAAAAAGACCTGAATGGCCAAAATTCAAACACTTTATTTCTGTTTTCCTCGTGTTAACAAGTTACTTTGGTCATGATCTTGAAATAGAAAATGTTTTCCTGAGTGACGTGGTAATTATCTTGAGATCTCAAGATAGCGAAGTTCCTGAAATAATGAGATATAGGTGCCCCAGATATATAAAGCCTTAATCCTGCTGGAACCTTTCCATCGTGTGTGGCAATGTCAGATGACAATGAGCAGATCATTACATCACATTCCTCTTGAGTCAAGGCTGATTTATGCCACGTGCTTGATTATTTTATGCCCTGCTGTTATAGATTATAAACACAGTCTTTTTTATTAGATTTTTTTATTTGTACACATAAAACTGCATAAAATCCAAATAGTAAAAAAGAAAAAATGAAATAAACATGAAAATAACGACAGAGAAATGCAGATTTATTGTTACTATGGTGGATATATATCTGCAAAGTTATAAATTAAATAGTGCATCCTGATTGTGTGCGAACAGTACGTTCTTCTGACGCGCAGCTGCAGCACCGACTGAAAGTACAAAGAAAAGAATGTAATTTCAAACGCACCCTAAATCTGGATCGTGTTCGTAGAGACGAGACGTTCAGCCAAACACACCTGAGATGTTTTTCTTTGTTGAGTTTTCAGACACCAAACATTCAGCACACAAACATCACCAAAACCTTCCTGAGAGCCAAAAGCACCTGGTTCACTCTGATGAGGTGGATAAACATCTGACCTCTGACCTCTGACCTCCCTGTGGACCAATCACTTTATTATTCCACCACTTTGTTTCCAGCTTCTTTCCTGAATTGTTCTCTGTCAGACCTTTAATCTGAAGCAGCCTCGTGACAGAGACGGCTCTGTGTTTTTTTATTTCGCCTGTTTCCTGTTTCTAAAGGCTGAAACATATGGTTTTGATATTGTTTTATATTCTCAAGCTTTTATTGGTTTTGACTTCATAATCTATTTGATCATGTTCACAGTTTTTTATTTTAAATGTTTTAATCATCTTAATCACTCTGTGTTGTTTTAAGTGAATGTTTTATGAAGGAAATGTTTCTACGAATCATTACATGAGGAAAAGTAATCAGCTGTTTGTCATCCCGTCTGGATTTTACTGGTCGTAAATTTAGTTGTTTCATTTTTTTTTCTCCTCAGGCGAGACGCACCAGGTGAAAACATTTTCATGCACTGGTCAGTTTTGAGATTTGGGGCTCTTCAGCTCCCGTATGGAGTCTGGTTTCAGACTAGTGTAACAAAAACATCCACATCACACATGTAGGTGTTCATGTCACAGTCGTTCAGATTTCTCCTCTTGAAAATTTTAGCAAAACTGGCATGTTTAATTATATAATATCTTATTTGGATATTTAAAAATGCAATTGCAGAAAACTTTTCATACGAAAAAATAATTGTCTTAATGTAGGGAAGTTTCATGGTGACATCTGTAAGTTAAAGTCTTTTCACCTGGGATGTCTCTCTTTGATAAAAAGGAATTTTTACTGTTTAACAGTTTAAAGGAATTCTTCACCCGAACGTGTCTATGGTTAAGTTATTATACCAACCCAAAATATCTTTGTTCAAGGTTATGGTTTTAATGGTTTCAGGGTTTAATCACTTAAATGAAGGAATAAAAACCATCACAAACTATTTCATGCAGGATCATAATGGGCCCCTGGGCACAGACATATAAAGGGCCCCCAAACCCACCTTCATAAGAGCAAGACCTCCACGCTGACCTGTTTGATTTGAGAGGTCGTTTTGTGTTTCTTTGTGGTCGCTTTGTCTCTTTTTGTACCATGTTGTGTGCAGTTTTATGTCTCTTTGTGGTCCTGTCATGTCCCTTTGAAGTTGTTTTGTGTGTCTTTGTGGTCATTTTGAGTCTCTTTGTGGTCGTTCTGAGGCTCTTTGCAGGTGTTTTGTGTGTCTTTGTGGTCATTTTGTGTCGCTCTGTGGTCGCTGTGTGCCTCTTTGTAGTTGTTTCGGGCCCTTGTGCCTGTGCCAGGTGATCCAGTTCACCATGTCTGGGGTTCAGGGATCAAATCAAAATAATCACATTTGGGTGAAATATTCCTTTAATATTTTAGATGTGATTGCCAGCCAATCACTTGAAGAGTTAAAATTCCTTCAGCCTCCGTGGCACAAAGAGTTTGTTCATCACATTAACACATTCTGAAAAGTTGATTTTTTTCGGCTCATGTTTAAACTTTTATGCCCAGAAAGTGAAGCGGACTGCAAGTCAAAAACACAAACAACCAACTGCCATCTGTTCTTCATGTGTGTGAAATGTTTCCAAATGTTTAAAGATGAAAAGTATTTTGTTTTTTTGCATTGTTTTTAAACAGTGGTCACATTTTTCTACTTTCACTTTGTGTCCAAAGTCTGAAATTTGTAAATTTGAGTAGTAGTGTGAAGCGAGCGCGTCAGAATCATGAGATGTTTGATGTAACTGTGACATAATCATGAGATGTCGAGTCTTAA